ACATCTAGGCAATAACTGAGAGACTGTGAAAGACTGTGAGAGACGCTCACAAAGACGCTGAGGGACTGGAGAGAGACTGAAAATTTTTGTCTTGGGTTATTCAATTGGTTCTTTTCAAGTGTTTGAATTTCATTAACTAGCTGAATTTTTTATTAAATATATCTGTACAGATATTGTTTATTGAAGCATTGCTATTAAAATATAAAAAAAAACAATTTTAAATCAAATAAATAATTCAGACCTACTCGTTTTAATGCTTTGTCGTCGCTCAAATATGTACCTATCTAAGAGCACAGTTTAATAATAAATTCATGAGCGTTTCCAATTAATGATTTAGCGTTAACATCACGTCCTTAATTCTACCCAACTTCCATTAAATTAATCACACTTGACGATAATCCTTTTTATTTGCTGAAACTAAATCAATCGAGACTTGGTACAGATTCCCAGAATCGACTGTACCTATTTGCCGACATTTCAGTTCACCCTTCTAATACGATACATATAATAGATGTTTGTAATGTTTACGTCTAGTTGTTTGTTCTATTTTCCACGTATGGGGGATTATTCTGGATGCATAAAAGGAATATAAGCCTCGGTAACATCGGCGATTAACCGCTTCTACTGTTTAAAATTGGTTACGTATTACATATAGGTATTCGATAGTTTCCAGATGTTGCTTAGTAATACGAGTATAAGAGCTTATTGAATTCCATTTTAATAATAGCAAATCCGTGTGATATTGTATACGAGTTTGGAAACCAAAGCTCAATCATCTCAGTGGATAATTTAGAAGAAACTATGAACTATACTAAAATGTTGCCACAAGTTTGCTCTCTGGACAACCAAGCTCTGACATTTACCTATAGATAAGTACATTTTACATTACGTTAATTATGCATATTCTTGTTTTCCAAACGATGACTAATATCGGCATACCATTGTTATGTTCGCAAACATTTAGAATCGGTAACAAGCAATTCATATTGCAATGCGAAAGTCAACTAATCGACTCGTACTTAATTAGTTTCGTCCTCATATACCCTTGCCAGAAAGGAAACGATCCTGACTGCTACCCTATTAAATAATACGGAAATGAGATGAATGCTGGGGCAACGCAGCAACAGCCTTGTACGTATTTGGGCTAAAAACCGATCTGTGGCGGATTTGTTTGCCGATTCATTAATACATTGCTTTCAGGTATTCGGAAAGTTATTACGGGGTTTTAATTACGAAAATAACCCCTTACGAAAACGCTTCCAGCTATTTTAGTTAACTACCACAACACCATTCCTACTTTAGAACGATATGCGTTTGTAATTGAAGTGAAATTGTTTTACTTTTGTTTGAATAACTATAAATATGTGAAATGTAAGTTTGATATTTTTAAAAAGTTTAGGTAGACGATAATTATTGCAACAATCGAGATGAACCTGTAGTTTGACAGCTCAATATTTAAATCCATGCGTTCTAACTAAATAACCTAACGTAATCTAAGGAGTATAGCGAATTTATTCTATTTTTAGAATAAATATTTTAGAATGTCTTCCAAACGAAAATTAATTTTAAACTTGCGAGATCTCAGCTGGAATTTTTTTATACCATAAAGCGTTCAGTAATAAATTAAGTTACGCTAAAAGTATTGTTATTGCCTGCCTTCGCAAAAATTGTTATGATGAAAACATTAACTGCTGTTTGCCTTTTACTAAGAAATTAAGTGTTAATTATTTAATAATGGAATAAACGTCCACCCCACGAGACATATTTTAGTAAAAAGCTTGACGCTACTTGTACTTAGATTTGGTGCTATAAAATGTGTAGGTGTAGATAATGATTAATTGACGTTAATGGACTACATAATTTCATGAATAAGACGTTGGATTGCTTTGTCTTTTTAGCAGTCTCATCAAAAGTATTTGAGATAATAGTCGAGATTGATTGATAAAAGTTTTATTAATATTATCAACTTTGGATTTTTGTTTTATCTGAAATGATCTTTTGAAATATTAATTGCATGATAATTTTTTTAATTTCGTAATACTGGAAGAGATTAGACGTTTCGAAAGAGAGCATGATGAGTATAACGAAACCAATAGCAATTCCCGAGATAAAAATGTTCAGTCTCTCATTGTCTCTGAAAGCGAGACTCGAGTCCCCGTCTCTCATCGAGTCTCTCTGGTGTCGCTGAGAGACTGTCGAGAGACTGTCAAGAAAACTGTTTAGCGTCTCTGAACGAGAGACTCGAGTCGCTCATAGACAGATCCTCATTTCGTATCCAGTCTCTGAACGAGAGACTCGAATCTCTGAACGAGAGACTCGAGTCGCTCATAGAGAGATCCTCATTTCGTATCCAGTCTCTGAACGAGAGACTC